CCAAAGTGCTTGGATTACAGGCGTGAGCCACCACGCCCGGCCATGGCCTAGATATTTCTTCTTTCACTAAACTCAATTTTAACTCTTAAGAAATGTTCACAATAAAATTATCACAGTTCATAAAATCGGTCTTTTTAGTTGCCAACATTCTAAGAAGTTGCATACAATGACAAGAGTAAAATGGAATTATTAGACGGCACGTTAGGTTTAAGGTTTATGGCCGGGTGCGGTGGCGCAAGCACTTTGAGAGGCCAAGGCGGGCGGGGCGGATCGCTCGAGACCAGGAGAGCAGGACCCAGGCTCTACAAAATAAAAATAAAATGTGGGGAGAGGGTGACGTTTTCCAGGTTTCTGACGTTTTCCAGAAGGGGCGGTCCAGGTAGAAGCGCAGGTAGAAAGTGTGAATATAATGAGCGTATTCCGGGAGCAGCAAGTAAGCCGGTGTGACCAGAGGGAACTGGAGCTCTGGCTGCCGGACGGCGAGGGTGACTGCGTGAGACTTCACCAAGAAGTCCCCCTGCTTTCCCGCCTTTCCCAAGCCCTCTGCCCCTTTCCTCTTCCCTTTCGCGCTCCATACTGACTCCGCCCCTCTGGTGTCGCTCATCGCCCCGCCCCTGAGGGAAAAGGAGGCGGGGTCGGTATTGTCATCTCCCTGCGCCTTCCCGCGGCGAGCTGAGCCGCTGGCGCCGTCTGCGTGACGTCACAGGCACTGATCGCGTGAGCCCGCGGCGGCTGCTGCAATGGTTGCTGGCTGCCAGGTAAGGGTCTGAATTGATCTCTTGCCAGGCCGGAGCGCCTTCCGGGGCTGCGGAGGAAGACCAGGAGTTTGCATCCAGGGAGGCGGGTTTGTAGTCTGCAGTGTCGTAAGGCTGAGGTGGGGGTTGAAGGCCCAGGAGCCGGACTCTTTGAGCCGGGTCGAGGGGTGCGCTGAAGGGGCTGTTACGTCCAGGCTGGGTGAGGGGAGCGGCAGTGAGGCCCTGGGGGCTGGAGAAAGCTTTAGGGTTCACATTGGGGTGCAGGGAGTCGGGAGCTCAGGGTTTGGGCAAGGGGATATCTGCTAGGGTTCGGCCTTGGGGGTGGCTTTACCAGGCTCACGAATCTCTCTCTTCCTACCCCCGCCCGCCCACCCGCGCGCCTGCCTGCCTGCCTGCCTGCCTGCCGGCTCGCTCGCTCCTGGTGGCTTCTGCGGGCCGCAGGTACAGCATGTCTAGACTCGGGGCCCTGGGCGGTGTCCGTGCCGGGCTGGGACTGTTGCTGGGTACCGCCGCCAGCCTTGGATTCCTCTGCGTCCTTTACAGCAAGCGTTGGAAACGGACCCGGCGCCATGGCCGCAACCAGAGCCTGCCCAACTCCCTGGACTATACGCAGACTTTAGAGCCCGGACGCCAGGGTAGGAGCCCGTCCCGAGACCGCAGTCACTGCAGACTAATGGGCTGGGGTCCGGACTGCTTTTAGTGGAGGCTGTGGGACTGGGCAACGGAGGGAAATGCCTTAGGGTTTCACTGTTTTGGAAGCTTGTTGAAAAATCAGTCGTCAGGCTGGGTGCGATGGCTCACGGCTGTAATCCCATCACTTTGGGAGGTCGAGGCGGGCGGATCACCTGAGGTCAGGAGTTCAAGATCAGCCTGGCTAACATTCAACCAGATTTCAGCATGGTGAAACCCCGTCTTTACTAAAAATACAAAAATGAGCGGGCGTGGTGACATGGCCTGTCGTCCTAGCTACTGGCGAGGCTTAGGCACGAGAATTGCTTGAACGCGGTAGGCGGAGGTTGCGGTGAGCCCAGATTGCACCACTGCACTCCGGCCTGGGCGATAGAGTGGGACTCAGTCTCAAAAAAGAAAAGGCAGTCGTCGTTTTCTGTACTCTTTCCCCTCTATTACCAAGAAAGTATATTTCAAAAAGTCTGCTTAGCTTTCACTTTTAGTTCTGGCCACAATAGTGCTATGTGGATATTAAAGGCACTTGCTTAGTGTTGTGTGAGGTGTGTAGTAAGTAGAAGAAGAGTCCAAAAGAGGGCAAAAAGAGTCTTGTAGGGATTAAAAGTCTTGAGGTTTATGTATTAAATCATATATTAGAATTCGGAGGCAACTTGGAAACTATCTCATTCAAGTTTTTTTTTAATCCGTCCTATGAGGAAACCGAGATTCAAAAAGATTGTGTAACTTTCCTGAGGCGGTCACAAATTAAGTGGAAAGGTTGGGCTTGGTCACCTGGTCCAGTGGCCTTTGTACAGCATAGGGCTAGGAGCGTGCGTCATGAAGTTGAAGCTGAATGTGGCTGGCAGCCTCCACAGCTGAAATGAGTAGTTCTTCCAGCTCTGCAGAACTTTCCTTGTTTGAGCAAAGTATCTAGGGCTGGTTCAAACTACTGCCATCTTTGTTTGAGAGGACTGTTGCTTTTTTTCTTTTTCTTTTTTTTGAGACAGAGTCTCACTCTGTTGCCCAGGCTGGAGTGCAGTGGCATGATCTTGGCTCACTACAACCGCCACCTCCCAGGTTCAAGCGATTCTTCTTTTTCAGCCTCCCAAGTAGCTGGGATCACAGGCATGCACCACCATGCCCAGCTGATTGTATTTTTAGTACAGATGGATTTCGCCATATTGGCCAGGGTGGTCTCAAACTCCTGACCTCAAAGTGATGCACTGGCCTCGGCCTCCCAAAGTGCTGGGATGACAGGTGTGAGCCACTGGGCCTGGCCGGGGGAGGGTTTAGATTATCTCACCCCCATACTAATTGGAAATGAGTGTTTTCTCTGATTACCAATGATAGCTTGTTTGGAAAAGGTAGTTTGGAAGAGTCTTCAACGAGCTATCACCTTAGATTGCAATTGATTGTCAGCATTTTCTAACCTGCTGATAATCTAGTATTGCAAGTGTGCTTCCTTCCGTTTCCTTGTCGTTTGTTTGCAATTGTGATAAGAAGAAAGTGACCACATTCCCAGGATTCTTTTTTGCTCTGCATTCTTGAACATTATGGGCTGTGTGTTGTGGCCTGGTCTGGTTTACCAGATTTCCTTTAAGAAGGGGTTTTGCTTGATGTATGTGGATCCTGCCTCTCTGGTTTCTTTGTTGTTTTTGTATTTTCCAGTCCAGTTACCATAGGTGGGAATCACTTTGCTAGCATTTCACTGCTGGAATTTACTCAGAGCGAGATTTAGGGTTGGGTCCGTGGGGCTTAGTAATGGTGTCTTTATGAGATGGTTTGGATGGGCTTTTTCTGGTATACCTTTTCTTTTAGTAACTGGCCCCCTTCTCTTAGTGGGGGGCAGTTACTAAGTTCTGGGAGAAGCTCCAGGTTTTCCCTGCTATTCTTTGTGAAGTGAGAGATCAGAATTTGAGGGAGCTCAGTTTTAGGTTGCTGTGTGGTTGGTATTGACTCCCTGGTATTGGGCATTGTATGGTGAGGGGAAGGATTTTCTTTTACTCTAGCAAGACAACTGTCCTCCTTCAGGTTCCACTCTGGCAAGCATTTTACATTATCTGTCGTGGTGTGCAGCATTCCTGAAGGGCCCTGGTATGGAAGGTTCTTGGAGCAGAGGGCTCTTGTTTAGAGATCGCTGGGTAGTTATTTGGGACTTGTTACCATGTCTTGGCTGTGAATGTGTGTCCTATCTGAGCCTCACTGGGCCTTCTCTTGCAATGAGAAGCAGGTGTTCTTGAACGCTAGGTGTGAGATCTCTTCCCCACTATATTCCTGGGTGTTACTGCTTCCCGTTCTCACCCTTCAGTGATGCTGCTGCGGGCTGTCCCTGGTGGGGCTGGAGATGCCGCAGTGCTGCCCAGGCTTCCACGGGAAGGTCAGGAGAAGGTGCTGGACCGCCTGGACTTTGTGCTGACCAGCCTTGTGGCGCTGCGGCAGGAGGTGGAGGAGTTGAGGAGCAGCCTGCGAGGGCTTGCAGGGGAGATCGTTGGGGAGGTCCGGTGAGTAATGCAGCTTCCTTTCCTGCTGTATCCCTCCCCTATAGTTATTTCAGCTGAGGTGTGTTCTGGCCTTTGCTCTGTCTCTAAGGAAGAAACCAGTTTTATAGCTTCTGGCCTAATCTGGTAGAAGCTGTACATTTGGTACCTTGCCTTGCACGCTCCTTGCTGCTTCTGGACTCTCATGGTTCATCTGCAGCCGAAGCACTCTGTTCTGCCTAGCCTAGTCTGTGTCGGCTGGGACCAGGGAGCTCCCTTGCTTACCCTCCTGTGGGTAGAGACCTAGGGTTTTTTCTGTTCTTGGCCCTTTAATGAGAAGCGGTAGTAAGAGGCACCCCATGGTGAGTCGAAAGACAGGCTGGATGGGGCCTAATGGTACCATCTGGGACTGGGCTTGCTTTTCAGATCCCACATAGAAGAGAACCAGAGAGTGGCTCGGCGGCGAAGGTTTCCTTTTGTCCGGGAGAGGAGTGACTCCACTGGCTCCAGTTCTGTCTATTTCACAGCCTCCTCGGGAGCTACGTTTACAGATGCCGAGAGCGAAGGGGGGTGAGTTGTCTTTCCTGGAGGCAGTTGTGGCTACAGCCAGGTTGTGTTTCGTAAAAGTATTATCAATGTAAAATCCAAACCAAGCTGCTGTAAATAATTTTTGGAACAGATAAGTGTATAATAAATACAGAACAGTTGAAACAAACCCATCCTATTTATGTCATTCAGACAACTGTAGATGTTAATAGCAGTTATTGCTTACATCTGCTATTTTCTGAGTCAGTTTATTACATAGTTATTATGATACATTATTTGGGCATTTTTCTGTGTTATCACAGAGACTTTATAACATCGTTTGACTTTGTTCCTTTCCTTGGGTGGCTGAGCTGGTGTACAGAGATCTCTTAAGCACAAAGCATGCTCCTTCTTCCTGGGAGTCACCCTCTTCCCACAGAGGAGCCTTGCCTATGATCCCTTGAATCTTTACAGGTGGCAGGTGGCTGTTCTGAGTTCTCAGTGGCCCAGGAGGAATGACAGTAGACCTTTCTGTGAGGCAAGACAGCTGGCAGGGTTCTGGTGGACAGCCTCCTCCAAATCTGGTCATGCTAAGGGCTTTTTGAGTTTAAACCACTGTGCACCACTTTGAAACTTTGGTCCCAAGGCCAGACTCTGATACTGTCAGTGGCAGCATCTGCCCTTGTCTGCTTCTAGCTCCAGTCATTCAGGTAGCCTGTGTAAAGGCTAGAGGCTGATTTCTCCTTATCCACCCTTTCTTCTTCTCAAGGAAAAGACTGGTGCAAAGAACAGCCAAGTTTTATGGTGGATCAGAGGAATTGGCTCTAAGTGGGCACATGGAAACTAGAAGTTAAAATCAGGCCAAGAACGGTGGTGGCTCATGGGTAATCCCAGCACTTTGGGAGGCCAAGGCAGGAGGATTGCTTGAGTCCAGAAGCCTGAGACCACCCTGGGCAAGGCAGCAAGACCATGTCTCTACATAAATTAACTAGCTGGGGGAGGCTGAGGCAGGCGGATCACTTGAGATAAGGAGTTTAAGCCAGCCTGGCCAACATGTTGAAACTATGTCTGTACTAAAAATAAAAAAATTACACCAGGCATGGCAGCGCATGACTGTCATCCCAGCTACTCAAGAGGTTGAGGTAGGAGAATTGCTTGAACCCAGGAGGCGGAGGTTGCAGTGAGCCAAGATCGAGCCATGGCACTCCAGCCTGGGAGACAGAGTGAGACTGCGACTAAAAAACGTACAAAAAAGCTAGCCGGGCATGGTGGCATGTGCCTGTAGTCTCAGCTACTTGGGAGGCTGGGAGTTTGAGGCTGCAGTGAACCATAATTGTGCCACTGCACTCCAGCCTGGGTGATAGAGTGAGAAACTGCCTCAAAAAAAAAAAAA